GTTAAAAAAAGTCTGTTTTATATGTTGAAAAAATGTTTTTCAATATATAAAGCAGATTTTTTCAAGCATGTTGTATGTGTTGATAAATTTTAACTTTTATATATTGACAAAAATGATTCTCAACTTTAATGTATGGGAAAAATTTTCAGCTTTACATATTGGAAAAAACAAAAACTTAAATTTTCCAACGTGCACATTTTTACATATTTAAAAAATAATTTTTAGTTTTTTACATGTTAAAAAGCCCGTTTGTTGGGCTGAAATTTAAAAAAAATTGTAGACCTATATAAATTCACACTGTCTTTCCTTAATCTCGAGAACGGAGTTAAACACGACTCTATTGTTAGCAGGAAAAGTATGATTTACAGGGACAAGATACTAATTTGAGATTGAGAGCATATACTTTAAATTAAATTAATTAAAAATATGATTAATAGTTGATGCCCAGCATTTTCACGATGTCAAAATACTATAAACTTTTTGCTCGTTATATACAGATTTAAGATTGAATTTTTTTAAGGATAAAGTTGCAGATGTTATTAGTTTAGTAAGAGAAAAACTTAAAGCTAGAGAAGTTTATTAAATGAATTGAAAGAGGAAGAAGAAAATAAAATATATTAAATGAAATTTTCTTTTTACAAGAAAAATTCTACCAAAATATTTGTCATAGTAAATAAATTATTAATATCTGACATTTCATATTCAAATATTTCTTCTTTTCGTCTGTTTTTTTACATTTAATCTTTTACCTTATTTATAAATCTTTTAAATGATTTTAAAATGATGAATAAAACTTGCTTCTTGATCGTTATCAAACGTAATTTTATCAATACATTCTTTTTAAAATGGTTTGTTATTTTAAAGAGGATGAAAGGATAGTTTAGTAAATAGTATTTTTTGGAAAATGTCTGATTATAGCAGATAAAGACACAAAATGTAGAAATGAAAATGTTTTTACTTTAAAATACGCAAGAATTTGGATAAATTTGTAAATTTTTCTTTTCACTTTCTCACTGTTACGCAGGAAAAGTATGGAAATATGTCATAACATGATCCTTCAAAATTTTTACATTTTTACTCGGGGGGGTCCTTGAAACATACAGACATGCAAACAGATTTGGGGATTTTTCTATATGTGTGGATGTTAATGTGGTCGAAGAACACAATTTTGTTTACCCAATTTGAAGCTTAATAACTCCCGTGCCTTTCGTAGAAAATTTCTGAAATCTTGCATGAAGGTTTGTGTATTAAGCTAATTAACGAGGTTAAAGTTTGGTAGTTATAGATGAGTTATAGATAGAGTGGGTCATGTGCCATATATCGAGTGGGGTCAGTTACAATATTTACAATTTTTAAAAAATAAAATTCATCTTTAGGGTCAAAATTAAACTCTTTGCCATTTTATAACAATTAATAACAGAAAAAGTTTATTTAAAAAATAAAATCTTGTAACAGATGGCGCCATATGCAATTTTAACTTTTTTTTTGTCAGGAAAGTTACGCAATTCGTTGCTAGATTTTTTTAAAGCAAAGTTTTAAGATTTACGTTTAAAATTTTTGGATTAGTCATTAAGTTTTTAAGATTAAGTTTTAGATTTTAAGGTAAAGCTTTACTTTTAAGCCTCTAAAATTTAAGTTTTGCATGTTTACGTTTTGAAGTTTAGGTTTCTTTTTAAAGTTTCTAACTTTTTCATTTTATTATTTTTATGGTTATTTTAAAATTTTAGTTGAGATTTCTCAGATATATTATTTTCCTAGTTGAAAATTTAGGTTGTGTTATGTTTATATCCAAAATTTTAACAGAAAAACTAATGGTTAGTTTATTAAATTCTTGTANTTTGTTGGGCTGAAATTTAAAAAAAATTGTAGACCTATATAAATTCACACTGTCTTTCCTTAATCTCGAGAACGGAGTTAAACACGACTCTATTGTTAGCAGGAAAAGTATGATTTACAGGGACAAGATACTAATTTGAGATTGAGAGCATATACTTTAAATTAAATTAATTAAAAATATGATTAATAGTTGATGCCCGGCATTTTCACGATGTCAAAATACTATAAACTTTTTGCTCGTTATATACAGATTTAAGATTGAATTTTTTTAAGGATAAAGTTGCAGATGTTATTAGTTTAGTAAGAGAAAAACTTAAAGCTAGAGAAGTTTATTAAATGAATTGAAAGAGGAAGAAGAAAATAAAATATATTAAATGAAATTTTCTTTTTACAAGAAAAATTCTACCAAAATATTTGTCATAGTAAATAAATTATTAATATCTGACATTTCATATTCAAATATTTCTTCTTTTCGTCTGTTTTTTTACATTTAATCTTTTACCTTATTTATAAATCTTTTAAATGATTTTAAAATGATGAATAAAACTTGCTTCTTGATCGTTATCAAACGTAATTTTATCAATACATTCTTTTTAAAATGGTTTGTTATTTTAAAGAGGATGAAAGGATAGTTTAGTAAATAGTATTTTTTGGAAAATGTCTGATTATAGCAGATAAAGACACAAAATGTAGAAATGAAAATGTTTTTACTTTAAAATACGCAAGAATTTGGATAAATTTGTAAATTTTTCTTTTCACTTTCTCACTGTTACGCAGGAAAAGTATGGAAATATGTCATAACATGATCCTTCAAAATTTTTACATTTTTACTCGGGGGGGGTCCTTGAAACATACAGACATGCAAACAGATTTGGGGATTTTTCTATATGTGTGGATGTTAATGTGGTCGAAGAACACAATTTTGTTTACCCAATTTGAAGCTTAATAACTCCCGTGCCTTTCGTAGAAAATTTCTGAAATCTTGCATGAAGGTTTGTGTATTAAGCTAATTAACGAGGTTAAAGTTTGGTAGTTATAGATGAGTTATAGATAGAGTGGGTCATGTGCCATATATCGAGTGGGGTCAGTTACAATATTTACAATTTTTAAAAAATAAAATTCATCTTTAGGGTCAAAATTAAACTCTTTGCCATTTTATAACAATTAATAACAGAAAAAGTTTATTTAAAAAATAAAATCTTGTAACAGATGGCGCCATATGCAATTTTAACTTTTTTTTTGTCAGGAAAGTTACGCAATTCGTTGCTAGATTTTTTTAAAGCAAAGTTTTAAGATTTACGTTTAAAATTTTTGGATTAGTCATTAAGTTTTTAAGATTAAGTTTTAGATTTTAAGGTAAAGCTTTACTTTTAAGCCTCTAAAATTTAAGTTTTGCATGTTTACGTTTTGAAGTTTAGGTTTCTTTTTAAAGTTTCTAACTTTATCATTTTATTATTTTTATGGTTATTTTAAAATTTTAGTTGAGATTTCTCAGATATATTATTTTCCTAGTTGAAAATTTAGGTTGTATTATGTTTATATCCAAAATTTTAACAGAAAAACTAATGGTTAGTTTATTAAATTCTTGTAAATATATTTATAAATATATAGTTGCAAGAAAAAAATATTTTGATAAATTTGTAAAATGCTTGGATTTTTTTTCTTTGTGTTTTATATGAAAATTTTAATAGAAAAACTTATCAAATTACTGCAGTTTCATAAATATCTGGTTATAAGCCTTATTCGTTGAATTATAAAGATGAATATATATATATATATATATATAGATATATTTGATAAACTTATAAACTTATGAGGAAAAAATAGATTCAAATATTCATGGACGAATATAATTTAGAATAAATGTTTGTGAATATTTGTAGAATTTTGAAAAATATTGTAGCAGTAAGAATTGTAAAAGCTGTATGTATAACTATTTGCATTCTCGGGATATTTAGTACATTTATTATAAATATATATAGAAATATTTACAGATTGTAAATGTAGAAAAAGATTTTGAAAATTGGAATTTTACACGTTGGAAAAGATCTCAATTTTTTGCTTATTTAAAAATTCTTAATTTTTATACGTATAAAAATAATAATTGAATAATGCATTTATATGTTGAGAAAAATTCTTAACTTCTATAATTTGAAAAAAAACGTTGAAAATCATTTTCTAATGTTCTATATCTTAATTATTCTAATTATAAATAAATAAATAAATTACACACATTCGTGTAAATGATACACAAATATTGAATTTTTATGTATAAATTATTCAATCTATTTATATATATCTGCAAAAATATTTTTTAAATTTTTGCATAAATAGATAATTCAACGCATGTATAGAGAAGCCAGTATATAGATACACATGATTTAGAAATATTTACAGATGAGTCAGAAATATACAAAATAGAAAATCAATATTCTTAAGATATATATTTCTAAGATTTCTATCTCCGACTGAAAATAGGTAAATAAAATATGTGACTGAAATTTGTCACGTAATATATACAGAAAAATTTTAACAGTTTATAAACTAACGTATAAAATATAAAAACTCAGGCAAAAAAGTAAAATTTAATCCAAAAGTAATATAAAATTCCAATATTTTTAACGCGCGAATGAGTCTGAATGGATCAAAGAAACAGATGTAATGCAGAGAAAGCAAACTTTGGGATAAGCGAGAGGAAGGATTTGTAATGAATATTCTTTAAAAATTGAAGAAATAATAATAATAAATAATTCAAATAATAAAAGATCAGTAAATTTCTCAATAAAATATTTATAAGTAAACATAATAAAATAGTTTTTTTTCTGCCTGTAAATAATACAAAGCTTAAGTAAACCCATCCACAAACCTCTATATATGAATTTTATTATGTTTAGAAGTTTAGAAATTAGAATTTTAACATATTAAAATGTTTTTAAATATAATCAAAATCATCCAATTCATTTAATTTTCTACAATAATATAATTTTATAACGCTTTTCAATCATTTAAAAATGCTAATTCAGAATTGCTTTTACTGTATCACTGAAAAATTTTTTAATAGTGCAAAACATAAAAATTCAGAAAACCAAATAAAAATTTAATCCAAAATTAATTAAAAAACATATTTTAACTTAAGTAAGAGCTCAAATCGGAAATATCTGCAAAGAAACAGGTGCAATGCAGAGAAGCAACTTATAGTTAAGATAAGAAGACATAAAGAAATTCCTCCTTGATTAATTCACTTTTTATGCAAAAAAATGCATAAAATTATTATTTGTAACGATAAATAATCTTCTCACAACACCAAAAATGATATAATTTGAATCTCTAACATTCGACTCGTTTTATATTTTTTTGATAATTTTCACACCCCTAATCTTCACACCCTGTCAACAGTTCTACTTCAATTTATTGAGTTAGAAAAATCATTGTAAAAGTTTAATTTATACGCACTTTATTATAATTATTATTTTAAAAAAATATATTTAAATTATTGGTGAAATTATTTTCGGAAGACGTGATTTTATTATGACAATGGAAGGATACACAATACATACAAAAAACACTCCATTAAGAGAGCATACATTGTTTTTCTTCTGTTGAAAAAATGAACGATTAATGAAAAATGTCACACGGGAGATTACAGAAAACAAACAAAAAATATCATTTGTTGTCTTTACAATGTTTAAAATGACGTCATCCAATGTGGAACCAATGTAGACAAAGCTCTTTTTTTTAAAATTTTTCCAATTTTTTTATTTTTATTTTAGTTATTAAATTTATAACATCGTGACGAAATTATATCACACAAAAATTTGCTAATAGTCAGGGTGTGGTCAATTATATCCAAATTTACCTCCACCCATTTTGCTACTTGTTTTAAAAAAGTAGCATTCGTATATTAGCAGTATAATATATATATTTATATGTATATATAATTTATTTTTTGTTTGAAAACTAGTATAAAAAGTGTTTTAATATTGTATTTTTTTAATATTCAAAGAGCGTAAATCACGATTAACAATAAAATTAAATATATATTGGTCCATTTCGAGGGGGTTTTTCTTTTTACCAAATTGTACGTTGCTTTAAAGAATCAAGAAGATCTGATGGATTTTTTGGGGGTTTAATGTAATAGCAACATTGGTTCACAAGATTTTATGATTTTTTTGAGAATTTTTCTTATCAAGATCGCTAAAAATCATTTTATAAGAGGGTTTACAATGACCACAATATGGTTTATGGTTGATCCCAGTTTGAGTCATGTTCTGGGAGTGGTTTCTCTGCTTCACTTTTTGGCAACTTCTAGCAATTTTTTTGACTATATACGTGGTTCCTCTGCTTGAGGGTGGTGTATATTTTTCATTTTTTCTGCACTGCAAGAGGTAGATGGCACTAATTTGTTTTGCGCTCGGCGCAATAAGTTTGTTTTCTTTTTGATCTGTGCAGCGACGATGCATAGAACATTCTTCTAAAAGTTGTAAAATCTTCTTCTCTTCGACTTGGCTACAACTCTCTTCCAGATATAAATATTGTTTATTTATTTATTTATTTGTTTGTTTGTTTTTGGTTGATTTTTTCCCTTAATTATTTTTTTAAATATACTAATGTCATTTTATGGCAGCAACTGTTCAACAGTTGATTCAGGCACAGGTCAAGGATCATCTTGGCATTTTATTTTTATCTCAGGATAGATCCCAGAAAACTGTGTTATGCACAGGCAAAAAAAGAAAGGAAAGTCAAAATTCGACTGGCCTTGTTGAAAGTATTATTTTCCTGTAAATAAAAAATAAATTAACATGTTTTATTAAGTAAATTGTTGATTTAGAGAAATATTATGAAACGGCATGAAGAAAAATGCACATTTTATCAGTCAATATCACGTGTGTTACTGCGCGTTATGTGAAAATGTTTTCTTATGTAGCTCAATAATTTAATGATAACTTTCATAAGCATGTATTAGTGCATAAATAGTAGCTTGTACTAGTGTATTTAGTGTATACTGATATTTAAGTTGTAGTATACAGATTATTAATACATAAACTCTTAGTGCACAAACTATTAATGCACTAATCAGTCCATACGAGAAGGGGGTGCAGCCAGGGTCCATCAGAGGAGAAAAAAATAACAGAATTGTCAATTTTCTCATTATTCTTTCAAATAACTTTGGCCATGGACTAACATTTATACTAGATTATTTTTCTACTTTATTATCATTATGTGATTTGAATAAGGAGGGTCTCAGAAACGAAGACCCTGGCACTAACCAAAGATGGACCTTGTCTCGGGGGCAAAATATATACGATTTGGAGAAACTAACCAATCAATTCATTAATTAAAGAGATGTTTCTTTAATTGTATTCACGACAGTGAATAATAAACACAAAAACAAGCGAACTCAACTGTGTTATAAAATGTGACATCTGACCACTGTCTGTGGATGCACGAACTTATATATAGTGTATACCAGTGCACACAAGCTTAATGTGTACACTGTTATCGAACAAACTGCATTTCAGAAACATATTACATAAAATATGATGACACAAACAATAGTTTATGTATGACTTGTCGTCTCTCTCTGTAACTACATTTTGAGAACTATAATAGTATATTGCATGCATTAGTGTGCAGGTTATCATTTATGCACTAAAGTATGCTACGTATTCTATTTTAAAATAGTTAATTACTTGAGTTTGAACATTAACGTGTTATCTATGATGAAACTATGATGAAAATCTTTGATTTACACATGAAATATATGGGATAGTAAACCACCACGTCTATTCTAATCACAGATAATAAACATTTATTACTACTAATGATAATGATGAGATATACGATCTGTAATGATAATGATGAGAGAGAAGTTCAAAGTGGCATCCATAACATTAGAGATGGTGTAAGATAAACCCTATAACAATATAAAGTAACTTTCAATTGTATTTTTCTTAATTCCTTTATAAAATCATACCATATGCTTCCCATAAGTAAATTCTACTAACATAATTTCCACTTTTCAAGTAGAAAACTCCCTTTAAAAGCCACAAATAGTGAATGTAGCTCGTAACCTACCAGTTCATAAAACTTGTATTTAACTACGAAATAAGAATTTCTTACGCAAAAATGTGCACTTTTCTTATATAAATAATAAAATAATTTAAAATTTAATCAGTAAGAATTTGAATTTAATTAATTTTTTTACAAAATCTTAATAATAATTTGCCAGAAAATCTGACTTACTAAAACTTAAAATATTTAAAGTAAAACTTATAATATATTTATTGCTTAAAAGTTAGTAAAGATATTTATAGATAAAAGTATAAAATTACGATATATATATCCTGATAATGAGCCAGTATAGAGCTTAGTAAAGTGTTAAAGTATCGTGGTTTGACTTTGTATAAATTCATGTATAATGGGAAAAGCAATAAAACTTCATACGAGAAAATAAAAGTTTAAAGTGGTTTAAGCTTTTACAAATTCTAAAACGTTAGAAAAATAAAAAAGAAGAAAGTGTTAAATCGTTTCTGTACCTTAGTTTCAAGTGAAGCGAAGAAAGCAAGATAGAAGGACTTTAGTTTAATGGTTGGAATAGGCTTTTAAATGCTCATGAGGATCGTATTCTTCACTAAGAGTAGAAAAGAAAAAAGTAATAATAAAAAGAAAATAAAAAAATCGATGAGAAACATCACGAGTGCGGGTACTAGAAAATGAACAGAAAACATTAACTCTATGTCAGCAAGTAGGCCACAAAGTCGATTCCTTGTAATGGTAATTGAAGCAAAAATTCTACTACTAGAGATACAAACCGCTGCTATCTACAATAGTAAAAAGTAAAGGAAGAAAATAAATCGTATCTACTAGAGCAGAAAACTTCATACTTTTTTCTCGCAGTTGTAAACTGTTTAGTTTAGTTTTCTTATATATAAAAAATATTTTAAAAAGTTAAACTGAAGCATTACTAATCAACAGGGACTATCAGGATTTGTATGATCTTAGTTTACAGATGAAACTATGACTTTCAATAGCAAATATTAGTAGCATTCACTTAAATTATATAAGGTTTGTAAGGATTTTAGCCCTACTAGCAAACTGAGTAACTGATCTATAATATGGTAGTGTAGTGCTAGCTATGAGAGTGCAGTGCTAACTGTATCACAGCTTTAGATAATGCAATATTGCATTTTCTAGTATCTTATGCAACTATTACGAAACTAAAAATGTAGTTTATAGTGTCATATCTCACTACCTGGGAACGTAACATTGCATTTCTCAGTACACAAATATAATTGGTCCTAATGTATTTTTCATAATTCACAAACACAAAATACGACCTCATATTATACTACTGATTTAATTAATTACTAATTACTTGCTAACCAAGTTATTAATTAATTACTAACGTTACATCACACACTCGTAATTTAGTTAATTGCTAACATTGCATCTTGTATTAATGACATATTTAACTATTTATATTGCATCACTACAAATTTGTTTCATTACTGATTGCATTTCCCTTATTTACAGCTGATTACATTAAGAATTAATTGCATCTTCCATTTCTAAAGTGGTTAATTTACAGTTATTGCATCTTATATCACTATCTATTTATTAAATTTGCATCTTTCATAAGCATCTTTCCAATTATTTAACATTATTAATACATAGCATCTTCATCTTCTAAATAAAGATGCTACAACAACAAATGTTTTAGAGAAATTTATAGAACTTTGCCTTGACAAAATTTACGAAATTTTTATGAAGTTTTAAAAGTGCCATTTATAAAATTTTTATATAATAATATTTTATTCAAAATTTAATTTTTTATCTACGTAAAAGATAACAGAAAGACCTCGAAGCTATTATAAAACGAACAAAAGTTCAGATGAAATTTTAATGTTATAGGCTAGTATACACTTAAAATAATTATTTTTAATAAAAAAACGAAATTTTTTATAAGTTATTTCATGAAAAAGCAGTATATAAAAGGTAGATGTATGTTAGAGACTGCGCTTCACCCTCCCTTATGAAGTACCTCCGTAGTGATAGAAGAGCTTAGAAGTAGAAAGTTTTGCTGTCAGCTTGCCAGCTTTCCTTTACAAAAATTTGCATATTTATAACTTTATACCTGATTTTTTTTACAGATTATAAAGCCTTAGTCACACTTCTGTTTGTCTGCTTGACATCAACGGTAAAGTTGCATTGCTTTCATCTGTGAGAGAAGTTTTGGATGTGTACCTCGAGTTGCATTTCTGCGTTTTAGTTGGAACATCTTCCGGTGATGCTGTTCCTGGTGAAGAGATGCTTGGAGGTCGACTGGATGGCGATACAGATACATTACAGTCCAACGATTCCTTATCTTCTATAGGCTAGAATGGGATTATTTATAAGTTAGTAAAGGAACAATCTTCTAAATTTTTCTACTATATTATTAAATATATAGATATATATAAATATAAAATAAATAAATAGAAAAACGAAAAAACAAATGACAAATGGCAAAGTGGAGAGTTTTTGGAAAAGGTAATGGAGGTGTTATTTTGTGACTATAGGCTGTCATCTCTTGGCTGTCAAACACGTCGAACCTTCAGGCAATTTGGTGCTATCTAAAAACAATGTCAAATTTTATCGTTATATTTTCTATTTTTCTTCCGTTGCACATTTTCTATCCTGTTTCCTACATTTTTTTACTCTATAGCAGCACCCTTCTTCTCTATCATACTTTCAGGAGCAACTAGACTTATACGTGATGAGACTTCAAACGCTTCCATTTCTTCTTTATTGACATTTAAAAATTGTATTTCGTGTGATATTTTCTTAAAATTTTAACAGAAAAATATATAAAAAATTCCTATTTTCTAAAAGAGGAATATAAAAGTTAACTACACAATTCTACCTTAATTTAAACTTTAAAAGATAAAAAAATTAAACAGGGGGAAAAATATATATATATATAATTTTATAAAAAAAAATTACCACATTTAGGATTGATTTTGTAACCAAATCGCAGTCAGGATTTGTCTGAAATTTCTTCCATCCTACACAATTACTATTAATAAACATTAATCCTCCATCACCATCTTTTCTCTCACCATTTGTTGTAACCATACCATTGCCTAAAAATCAGCAAAAGAAGAAAAAAAATTAATTAAATTTAATTTTAAAAAATAAATTCCAAAAAATTTAAGTTAATATTTATTTTGTAGAAAAATAATTTCTTAAATTTATCATTTTCTTAGTTGATGATGATGTTGGAACAATTAATTATCTTAAAGTTGCACCAATTTAATTTGCATTTTTATTTTTTGGGGATAAATTTTTTGGAAAGGGGATTTTTTTTTTAGATTTTTCTTCTTGTTTACTAGAAAGGATACATTTATAATTCACTTCCTATCTTGCAACAGCATGCAGTATTTTATTATTGAGGGATAAATCCATATTGTCTTAAAACTTTCAATTCGTTGTTGTCTCCTTGTTCTCGAATGTTTTTGTCCATCGTTTCATTTATTTTCGGATGTTTAAAATTGACAGAAGATATTTCCAAACAAAAGCTACTTCTGTTTACTTTAGTTTAACAACAGGAAAAAAACGAAATACATAAAAATATATATTTCTATATTTTTATTCAATTTCCAATTTTATTTTATGTACGTAGAAAATTGACTTTAGTATCTATTGGGAATATAAAAAATGTTGAAAAATTGTAAAAAAATAAAGCAAAATAAAATAATTTTAAATTAGTATTATAGAAAATTATAATTAAAATTAAATATTCAGAATGTGAATTTTTTTTATTGAGGTTAATTACTTTGCTTAATTTTTAAAGGGAAAATTAATAAATATTTTACATGAAAAAAGTATGAAATTTTATATAAAATGCTTGCTAATTTGCATATTCTTAAGAAAAATTGGCAGAAGGATACTAATGATGCTATGTGATGTTAAATTGTTAAGTGTTTATAAATATCACTGTCATCATCAGTATCAAGACACTTGGTGCTTCAAAGTGTCAAGTAGTTAAATAATTAAACCAATGGCTTAGTTCGTTACACATCTGTTTGCTTACGTAACTGCTTGCCACCTGAAGCACCCCTCTATTTTTCTATCAAAGTTTCATAGCAGCTAATTCGCATACTTTACTCTTAAGAGATTATAATAGAGAAGTAGTGCAGATACTGATGATCCTAGTAATATTGAGTTGTTATTAACAGCCCTATTATTATTATCATCATCTGTGCTAACGCTGATCCTCATCAAAGTATTTAACATTACAGAGAAGTATGTAAATTAGGTCTGTCTTAAGATTATTTTTATATAAAATATCTAAGTTCCAGTTTAATGCATTTTATACAACATCATTGTATTTTTTATTGAATTTGTATAGAATTTTGTAAGCTAATTTGAATATATATCCTTCTACTCTTAAAGAACATCGCTAAAAGAATAGCATAAATGATGATGCTGATCCCTATCAGCATCTACACTAGCATCAGTGATATTGATTCGTTAAGTGAATATAATTGCTATCATCATTATCACTATTAAAATCATTCCACTTATCATTATCAATAACAGCTCTAATCTTCATCATCAAAATTTAATAAGTGATCATGTAGATTAATAATGATAAATTGATGATTATAATAATAAAGATATAGCAATAATAATTGTCAATATTATTAAGCAATTAGCATATTATTAATAATGTAATAAACATAATATAAGCTAAATATACTTTCATAACATCATAAGCTCTCTATAGATTATTGTGTACAGTATAATGCAATATGTAATGTCCTCTTTTATAATATAGTGTGCATTTGTACATCAGTACTGTATTATATAAATTAAGCTACAGTTTAAGTTAATTGAGTTAGTTGGATGGTTTATTTAAGCAATAAAGTACAGAATATTGTAAATTCTGTAACTGAAACCATATAACATGCTAAATAAGCAAATGATATTCTTAAAAATAAATTTAAAAAAACAGTAATTTTACAGTAAAAAAGTTTTATTTATTAAAAAAAAACAACATAGGCTTTAACTTATAAGCGAATGATCACTTTCAAGATAACATAACAGTAACAGTGTTTGCACTTGTAGTAGCATCAGTAGCAAAATTTGTAGCAGTAGCAGTGAAGAAAAATTACTAGACAGAAGACAAATGAATTTACCTGTTATTAAGACAGGAAGCTTTTCTTCTCCTCTTCCAGTACAAGCACAAACGTCACATCCGTCATCAGGAAAAGCAGGAGCTGATGATGGTGACCTAAAAAAAAATACAAGCAAATCATTTATGTAGAAGCGTTAAAATAAAATAACTGATTTTTGAATGATTAAAATGTAATTTGATACTATCAAAATATAAGAAGAATAGATTAGTTTTCAGTATCTTGGTTTTTTAATACGTATCCAATGATAAAATTTTCGATTTGCAAACTCTATACTTGGCCTTATAGTAAGAAAGAATAGGGTTTCAAATCACAAATGATATGCAAGACTGACAAATATATATATATATTCTTTTTTTCACTTGTTTAAATTAGCTTTTTGTTATTCCATTCTAGAATAATCTAAAATAAGAAAAAAGGGGATCAACTTACTTGCAAGAAGCCATCGTTTGTGAAGCAGCTGTTCAGAAAAAAATGGCAAAAAAAAAATTATATTTGTAATCAATAAATAGTTTTCTTAGTGAAAAATATTTTATTTTCTACTTATTTATTCTAAAAAGAGAAAATACAAATAATAATAATAATAAAATATAAAGGAAAAAATCTAAAAACTTTCATAGTAATATACAATCGATTGAAGAAAGTGGAAGTATTGTGGTTTTTTTGTTTTGTTTTATTTTTTATAAAATAAAATAAAAATAAACTTTTTAGATTTTTAATTTTATTTTTTAATATAAAATTACTTTGTTTATAATAAATTAAAGATTTAAAATTACAATTTTTTAGTAATTTAAAAAAAAAAATCTAACTGTAACGATATGCTTTGCGTAATGATTTATAATACAAGGATGATGGTAAATTTAATATTCATTTATAATAGAATAGAGAATAATTAAGATAATTATAATTATGTTATATTGTAATTATTACCTATGCTACCATAGTAGCATTACATTCACCATGGCATAGGCCTATAACAATACTTATACTGCTTGCTATGGAAGTAATATCGTTCGTATAAAGTACTAAATGTTTCGAGCATCTTAGTAACAGTCAACATATAATACCGTGATAATTATTATAGTATAAAACAGATGCTACTTTATAGCATCATAATAGTAACATTTCAACAATGATACATTGATATAATAATGCAATACACACTTACAGTACGATCTGTAGTAAGTACTGATATAGTAAGCTGTGTTACTGTATAATATAGTTTACATAATAGCATAAATTATATTGTAACATACTTTAATAGCTATAGTTTACTATCGTAAAGTAGTACATAGCAGGACACTATAAGTTAGATTAACTTTGTTGCTTAAACAATATGTAGTATAATGAATTCGAACACTTGGCATTCTTTTATCTTTATTTTCATTTAATTTAATTAAGCAACAAAGAAGACTTACGACACGGTTTCGGATTATCAAACAGTTAAGCTGTGTATTAGCATTATTCACAAGTTATTAAGTAATAGTGCCTCAATTAAACTGCGTATTAAGTATATTGTAGTAGCTGCAAAGTATTACTTACTGTCAGTAGTATACTAAGCCTTTTCAAATTACAGTAGAATACTAAGCACACTAACAGAGCATTAAAAAAAGTAATGTATTAGATACAGTAGCATATACTTACCGTAGCAAGCATAGCTTAAGTAATACAGTATAGTACAGTAGCAAGAATAAGCATATTATAACCATAGCATAGCAAGTATAAACATAGTATAACCTTAATATACAAGTATAATATAGTTAACAGCAAAATATTGTTAGGTAAGACACTATATAATCATAAATAAATAAATTACTAACATTTAACCAATTTATTAAGACTACACAACTTTCAAAAAATTTTCCTAGTTCTAGAGAAAAAAAAAGCAGATAAATAATTTTCATATAAAATTGGATAAAAACAAACACTAAGTTTTTAACAGATTTTCATTTACTACTCTTTCAACAAAAATAAATAATTTAAACGTGTTTCACACATTCTTAGATTCCTCCATCTAAAAATGGAGTTAGATCCGCTTTAAACATAAAATTCCATCAAAACAGCTTTACTACACTCGAACAATAGCAATATTTAAAAGCTGTTAAACATTAAAATCGCCGAAAAAATAGATAATACTTTAAATATTAAAACGAATTTTACTTTTTTTAAATTTTGCTTTTTACTTTAGCCGATTTCAACGGATCTTATCAAAGACCATTCTTGTATCATGCCATAGAGAAAAAGCATTGCAATTGTACTTCCATCAATATATATATATATATATATAGAANTACATAAAAGTAAACTTGCAAACAAAATTTATAGACAAAATATTTATATATTTTGCATTAAAAATAATCTAAAATTTAAGGAAAATTTTACAAAAGAAAATTAAAATAATTCAATGGGAAAAATTAAAAATTCAAGGGAGAAAGTGCATCAACTCACGTAATTTCCATGAAATTAATGTATTTTTTTATAAAAAATATAAAAAATTTTAAAAAATGAATTCAAGAAAAAATACACCAATTCACGTAATTTCCATAAAATTAGCATCTTTTTATAGAAAAAATTAGAAAATTCAAGAAAAAATACAGCAATTCACGTAATTTTTCATAAAATTAAAGTATTTTTATATGGAAAAAAATAATAATTATGATGAAAAAAATACTTACTTTTTATGGCATGATGTCTGTTTCTTGTTTTCATATAAAGAACAACAAAGAGAGCGACTGAGATTAATCCTACTACTATAGCAATAAGAACCCAGAGGTAGGGATTTATGTTGAGCTGCCATACATCATCTAAACATACCAAACAAAGTAGAAAAGATATAAGTAGGAAAACAAACACAGCAACTTATAATGCTACTGTAGTAACATTAATTATTCTGTGAATGGTTTTATTATGTTAATTATAAAACTTAATTTAACCAAACCCCGAAAATTTTTATACCACTTATCCAAGATTGCTTGGCAATTTCTTTTAATTGTAGCTTGTGTTTATATATATATACTTAGTAAATGAGTAGAGCGCCTTTTTCTCTTCTAGCGTTAGAAAAAAAGGGGTGTTCAATTTCGGTTAGTTTGATGGTAAATCTTCATGCTAGATACTTTGTAGCATCTTGGGAAATTGCTCTCTAGTGTTATAGCTCTCTTAGGACATAAAACTACTTCAGTATTTCTATTTTCGTTCCATTAAAGTGAAGTTGTATTTTCGATACTCTTTTGTATCGTTTGAGGACATCTACTGGGTGACAAATACTATTTGACAAATCTCTGTTGAACTCTAACTTGTGCTACTACCTAAATAACTGTATAGTATCAATGCCTTATTGTAGAATAATCAATATAACGGTACTATATTAAACCTCTATTGTTATTTCACGTGATTAATACCAATAATTCCAGTCTTTGTTACTATAGTAGTAGTAAATAATCATAAAATGTAACCAGTATGCTGCTTTAACAATAACCATATCATACAGTAGAAGTGCCCACCAATATGCGAACGAATAAACTACAACTGTACTGGAAGCTGTTTGCATGTTTGCTTCTGTCCAACGTGCTGGTCACGTTGGTCAGACGCGAGTTTACCCGGTTTTCTTCACGTGTCTAATATCTATATTAGAAGCCAGAGGAAGACCTCCTAGGAAGCACTTTCCTTATGTGTTGTTCTTCCTTATCCCATCATTAAGTACACATTTTAATCAAAAAAGTAAAGAAATGATATTCAAAATGCAAATCTTAGAACACACAAATCTCATTTTTAAGATTTAAACTCTCGCCCTTTTAGAAAATATCTTGTCTTTTGGTTACTTTGTCTAAAATCTGAACCCATTCCCTTTTTGAGAATATATTGATTTTCAGTGAGATCCACCGGTTACACTCTGAATTTAGCAGCTTTGATTAAAAATTCGAATCCATTCTCTCTAGCATCCTCTACTAGTATCTGGGCCCACGCTCCTCTTTGCATAGCATATTTTGTTATATAGCAGCATCGATTAAGGTTTGGACCACGTTCTTTCGAATAACATATTGAATGTTTAGCAACATTTATTACGATTCGAACCTATGCACTTTGGAGCAATACACCGAATGTTTAAGTGGGGGTATTTACTTATAATTTCTTACATTTATCATTAGAAATGATGGTAGGATTATAATATTATATACAGTAGCGTAACTAGCACTGATATTGAGGAGGACCCAAATTAGAACGTGCATATTATTCAACCCTGTAACACTGGATATAATCACTCGCGCGGTAAATAAACAGTAAGCTCTTGGGTGTTTTGTGAAGTTTTGTCACATTCAAATTCACTTTTTACTTACATACAGTCAACAAGGAGGGCCTAGAGCCTGTAGTCTGGTTGACCGTATGAGCCAAGTCCTTCCACGTATAATTGTATAGGAAATAGGAAAATCTGATAGAAACACGATATAAATTATATATTCAGGTAATTATTTTGGGAAGTAATAAATAAGTTTTAGAAATTTTTAGAGTTTAAATTCAATTTTTAANTCTAGAAATACTCTTATAAATATTTTTTAATAATCTTATAATTTTTTACTACAGATTTATTTTAAAATTAATCAGAATTTTATAATATTTTCCAAAATAATCAATGATGCATTGATGCATCTGTCTGTTTCTTGTTTTCATATAAAGAACAACAAAGAGAGCGACTGAGATTAATCCTACTACTATAGCAATAAGAACCCAGAGGTAGGGATTTATGTTGAGCTGCCATACATCATCTAAACATACCAAACAAAGTAGAAAAGATATAAGTAGGAAAACAAACACAGCAACTTATAATGCTACTGTAGTAACATTAATTATTCTGTGAATGGTTTTATTATGTTAATTATAAAACTTAATTTAACCAAACCCCGAAAATTTTTATACCACTTATCCAAGATTGCTTGGCAATTTCTTTTAATTGTAGCTTGTGTTTATATATATATACTTAGTAAATGAGTAGAGCGCCTTTTTCTCTTCTAGCGTTAGAAAAAAAGGGGTGTTCAATTTCGGTTAGTTTGATGGTAAATCTTCATGCTAGATACTTTGTAGCATCTTGGGAAATTGCTCTCTAGTGTTATAGCTCTCTTAGGACATAAAACTACTTCAGTATTTCTATTTTCGTTCCATTAAAGTGAAGTTGTATTTTCGATACTCTTTTGTATCGTTTGAGGACATCTACTGGGTGACAAATACTATTTGACAAATCTCTGTTGAACTCTAACTTGTGCTACTACCTAAATAACTGTATAGTATCAATGCCTTATTGTAGAATAATCAATATAACGGTACTATATTAAACCTCTATTGTTATTTCACGTGATTAATACCAATAATTCCAGTCTTTGTTACTATAGTAGTAGTAAATAATCATAAAATGTAACCAGTATGCTGCTTTAACAATAACCATCCCACCAATAAGCGAACGAATAAACTACAACTGTACTGGAAGCTGTTTGCATGTTTGCTTCTGTCCAACGTGCTGGTCACGTTGGTCAGACGCGAGTTTACCCGGTTTTCTTCACGTGTCTAATATCTATATTAGAAGCCAGAGGAAGACCTCCTAGGAAGCACTTTCCTTNTACCAATAATTCCAGTCTTTGTTACTATAGTAGTAGTAAATAATCATAAAATGTAACCAGTATGCTGCTTTAACAATAACCATATCATACAGTAGCGCATCAATAAGATGCTGCTAAAATACCCAGCACGAGTTGCTTAACTTTCCCGGCAACATTTAAAATTTTGGTGGCTCCATCTATTATAATATTTTAAATTTTTAAAAACTTTTCATATTTTAATTATTAGAAAATGGCAAAAAGTTTAATCTTCAGGGTATGGATGGGTTTTATAAAAAATTGTAAACGCTAATAATGAGTAAAATCTTCATTAAATCCGAACGTACTTGAGATACGACACACGCCCCTACCTTTACCTTCCCACCACTTGACGTTTAACCACAAAAATTTAATAGCATCAATCTCCCTAATACACAAATCTCCCTTCAAAATTTCAGAAATTTTTGACAAAAGGCACGTGAGTTATTAAGCTTCAAAGTGGGTGAACAAAATTGTGCACTAACATCCATACATATAGAAAAACCCTCGAATTTTTTGCATTTCTGGACATTTTAAGGTGTCCAAATCCAAAAATGTAAAAATCTTGGGCGAGGGACGTTTTTGACCGATCACCATACTTTCTCACTGTTATGCATAACAGAGCCGGGAAAGTAATATAATAGCATAATGTATACAACAATGAGAGAGTCGTATTCTTACTACAGCAGTAGCAACGTACCACCATATAGAAGTGAAGTTATTCACATGTTAAGAGCTATAAATCGAAGTTGATATCAAAAAGAAGAGAGTACATCTCACCTTTCTGTGTCTGACTTTCTGGTGTAGGATGGGTTCCCACTCTGAGGGTGACAGGTACACTAGTGCCTTTGGCATTGCCCGAATACACAGTCACTTGGAATATTGTATTGGAAGGCAAACCTCGAGCCACAAAACTTGGTCTGTCAGCAGAGATATTAGCTCGAAGTTGGTCTGTGGCAGCTTCTCTCACCTCCATATAAAAGTGTTGTGCCAGACCACCGTCGTCTCCTTCGGCACAATGAAGCAGAAAAGAATGTTCCGTTTCACTGTTAATGGAGCAGTTTCGTACCATTCCTGGTACCCCTAAAAAATAAATAAATAAATAAAATTCCATATGATACTTCACGTGTTAAAGTATGGATTTAAAAAATATGTGTGAAAAAAACACATTTTCCCCCAAAAATTTCAAAAAGGTACTATTTTAAGAAAAAACATCGTCACAAATTCGAGTTACAATTTTTAATCATATTTTAAATTTATTTAATTTAAAATATGATTAAATCGAGAGCATATATTTTAAATTATTAAAATTCGACATCAAGAGCGTATATTTTAAATTAAAGTTATTTAATTTAAAATATATTTTAATATGATATATGCTCTCGATTTCAAATTAGTAGTGTCTTGCCCCTGTACATCATACTTTTCCTGACAACAACGGAGTCGTGTCTATCATATATGTAACTCCGTTGGGGAGAATTTTTGAATTAGAATCACGTGACTTCTGGTCTATGCAGGAAGTTTCTATTAATCGCGACCTCAAGCCCCAAAGACTCGACTTTCATCTGTCAAATAACATTTTCGAGATTAAAAAGGGACAGACAGTGGGAATTCATAGGTCACCAGTTTTTTCAAATTGCAGCCCAATAATCATCAGTAATATCTTCAGATAAGTTTCTAGAAATACTCTTATAAATATTTTTTAATAATCTTATAATTTTTTACTACAGATTTATTTTAAAATTAATCAGAATTTTATAATANATTTTTAAATAAATTTCCAATGTAAACACGTTTTGTTTTTATAAAATTTTGCTCATAAGACAGTAAAATTTTTTTTTGTAAAATATAAAGTGTAAAGGTTTTAAAAGTTAATTCCAAAATTGACACATTATTTTTCATTTAAACAAAATTCAAATCTGAGAATAAGTAATAATAAAATAAAATTTTGTAAAGATTGCAAATTTAAAAAGAAATTTGAAATTAAAAATTACCTAAGCATACAAAACTAAAATTATAAATTTTTGAAAACTGCAAAACTTAGATTGTAAATTTGAAAAAAAAATTCCAAAATAACAAACAGAAAAATGACAGTAAATCTGATAAAAATTCAGAACTGAAAAACAGAAAGTATAAATTTTGTAAAAATGCAAGTCTAAAGCATGCAAAAATTAAATTAAATTTGATTAAAATTCAGAACTAAAAAACTGTATACGTAAATTTTGTAAAAATACAATGTTAAAAATACAAAAATAAAAATAAATTTTATAACAATGTAAACTTTTTACATAAAATATACAAAACTGAAAGTGAAAATTTTATAAAAATGCGAGCCTAAAAACACAAAAAACACAAAAATAAAAGTAAATATTATAATAATAATGCAAAACAAAAAAATTGAAAGTGTAAATTTTGTAAAAATGCAAATGAAAAAGCGCATAAATATTTCTAAAAGTTTATACTTTAAACAATTTTATACATTAATATTAAATTTTTTGCAAGAAAGACACTTCTGACTTTTTTCTTTTCGGATTTTTCTGATTATTTTTTAATTATTTTATTATTTTCCAAAGCGTTTCATACTTTAAAGAATTTTTGATCAGCTAACGTAACTTTTCCTTAATGAATTTTTAAACTTGTTTAAGAATACTTTTAAACCAGTTCAAACAATATTAATTTATAATAAAAGTATATATTATAAATCTATTAACACTATCAGAGAATATAAATTTATACGTTTTACTTACACATTTTAAAAACAATTTAAATTAATTTAATTAAATTTTTTTACAGAATTTTAAAATAAATTAATAAAGTCTAAAAAATATGTTCTAAGAACCATTAAAAATAATTTTTAATTAGTTTGAAATGGCTTTGAACAGATTTTATGCAGTTAATTTATTTATAAAAATAATTTTAATTATTCAAAATTCATTTCTTAAAGTAAAATTTATTGTAAGATACTTTAAAAATTGAATTTTTTAATATTTAAAATTGTTGTTTAAGAATTAAAACTAATATTTTATATATTTTGCTTACTTTGTAAAAGTGTAAATTTTTAGAAAAGTTCTATAAATTTTAGATAATTTTTAAAGAAAAATTAAAAACTGACAGAAAATTAAATTTTAAAAATATTTTAAGCATTTATTTACATTCAAAATATTTATTTTTTGAATAAATATTTTGCGGTTTAATATTTTTTTTCTTCCGATTATTTCAACAGGAAACTGTAATTTTACTCGAAAGAACAACTTAAACTTCTAACTTGCTGTGGTGACATAATTGAAAAAAAAAAGTTTTTTTCTGTTGAAAATTATCAAAAAGTCGCATTTTCCTTCAGTCTAAAAGTTTGTTCAGCAAGAAAATATTGTTAAAAATTTTTTAAACTAAAGAAAATTTTCAAGAGTAAACATGTGTAAGTGCTGTTAAACGTTTCCTGTTGAACGTATATTATTGATAATAGTAATAATTTTAAAAAATCTGATGAGAAATTCTATTATTTTTCAATTTTTAACAATATTTTAAAGAAATTTTCAACGTAATATTTGTAGATTTTTTTTAAAAAAGAAGCAAACAGTAATCAGCATTTAATTTCATAGCATAATATCACTATTAGTGGCTCAATCATGCTTGAGACTATGCAAAATACCTTGAAAATTACGGAAAAAATATTTGATTTTTAAGTATAATCAAGTAAAATTGAATCGAAATGATCCTATTTTCTGTTGTTTGGTAGCATCGATGGATCTTATAATGATCGAAGCGATAGGGAGTTCTTTCTTCTGACAAATAAAAGCAATTCCTTACACCTGTCGCAGTATCATTCCATTCTCCGTCTATGTAGACCGTAAAATAGCCCCATTTACCTCTAAACCTTTTTATAAAATCTATCCCAAAACAATAGATCTGTAACTCTACACAATAATATAACTCCATATTGAATTTTCTTCTTGGATAATCTCCAATTTTCCCCCCTCTTCTTCTATACGTATGCATGCAGAATATGATTTATTTCTTTAAAAATTCTTTCGTAATTATTGTTTAAAATATATAATGTTTTTCTCTAAAAGTTCTACTAAAAATACAGAAAATAATTTTGTATTTTTTTTTTTTGGAAAATTTTTGATTAAGTTGCTTCTGAAATTAAATAGTTAAGAATTTTTTTTAGAATTTCTGCTAGTCTTTCGAGCTTAAAATGATATAAAAACTTAATTTTAATTGAATTTCCTTGTTCATAAATATGTTTTTATTTTTTTTTTTTTGGTCAAAATTTCTTTAAATTTTATGTATTTTATATAGATTTTATTCACTTTTTTCCATACTATAGGGATATTTGGAGCTGTTGCTGTACTTACTCAATTTAATTTTCTTGTCTTTGAACTTCTAAAAATTAAGTTTTAGCGCGACTTTTTGGAGAAATTTTAGCTTATTTATTTACTAAAAGCTTCATATATATTTTATAATTGATTTTAAGTTTGTTTTCAAATTATATTCTTTGCTAAAAATTTTTTTAGAAGTGTCATTATACATATCAATCCATACGCTCTCACAACTGGGCTTCTAAAATATTAAATTTTATGATTTTTTGGAAGAATTATCTCATAAAAATCCCACTGGAATATTTCAGAGTTTATAAATATATTTCTGGAAGATATTAACTTAAATTTTGTCTATTTAGAAAAACTTTTCAGCACGCTTCTTGCAGAGCATAAGGCATTATTAGAGTTGCTGTTACATCTCGAACTTTTTATGTTTCAGTTACTAAAAATTAAATTTCAGTACGATTTTTGCATGAATTAATGTATTTTCAAATAGATGCAATAGAAAATATATTTAACTAATCGTGTGCAGCATCGTTTATTCTTTTAGATTATTCAGAACACTTCCAGATACATTTCTGAAAAGATAATCTAGATCAAATCGTTTCTAACCTCTCATAAAAATTCTATACATCATAACAATAGTTTTATCAAGGAAAATATGTAGGAAAATTTAATTTATTTAGTTTATTTCTTGTTATATACCTGCAGGTATCACTGTGTAAGTACACGGTTCGGTCTGTAATCCAACACTATTCTTTCCCCTGCAATATAAAGTGCCGAAGTCGTGTTCAGTTCTAGGTATGTAGTTGACAACACTCCTTGTTCCAGTGCTGCGAGAAGTTAAAGCTTCTAAATTGCCTGAAGTATTATTAAATTGCCATCGAAATGTTACATCTGCAGGATCAGCTTCAACTTCACATAGGATCCTCACTGCTGAATGCAATAAAGAACCGTACAATGTCTTTTGTCCAGGTTTGCAAACAGGAGCAACTGAAAAAAAAAACAATAAAAGATTTTATAGTAAGTATTAAGAACAGAAGAAAAAGACAAAAAGAAAAAAATATAGTTTCTCCAAGTTCTAAAACTCTAAAGTGGATCACATGTTGATGTCACATATTTACACACTAGAAATGTTCTTAATTATTAAATGTACATAAAATTATGAAATTTATGCATTTTAAAGTGTGCTTTTTAAGAAAATTTCGAAAATTTTAATAATTAAGTCTTTTAATTTTTTATAAATTAAGGTTTTAAGGTGATTTTAGGGGTGTACTTACAGAATCTTTTCAATAGAAAAAGCCTATTCCTCGCGAATTCACTCTAATAATCTATATTTTAACGTAATTTTTAGTTTAAAAAATCTATTTTTAATGTATATTTTCATAAGTTATTAGTATATTAGAAGGTTGTTGTCTGTCTCTCATGCTTTATAGTTCATAAAAGTTTTCAATAGAGAATAACGGGTAGGGAGTGGTAAAATTTTCTAGGCACCATCCTTAAAATATAACAAAATATGTTATAAGTTATGAAGATCATCATTAAGTTAGATGAGAAAGGGGGTGAAGATAGTTTTAACTGTTTAAATGATAAATTTATAGAGATTTTTGTCAAATTAAGAAAGGAATTTAAAGATGTGAGCTAATTTAGAACCTATTCAAGATCATAGACCTGCTTTAAATCGATCTTAATAATCATTGTAACGAAGAACCACGAAGATCGATCCCTGATCTTAATCAATTCCTAATATTCTACAGAAACGAAAATTAGTTATGTCAGCGAAAATTCAAACTCTGATTGATGTTTGACAGTCGACAATACTCTCACTTTCTAAATTATTTGCTGACGTAATTACTTTCCCGGCTGTTACGTATAACGGGGGTATGGCAATTGGTAAAAAAAATTACCCTCAATATTTTTACAATTTTGGACTCAGGGGACCTTAAAACGTCGAGAAATGCAAAAAATTTGGGTTTTTTCTTCTGTATATATGATGCTTGTGTAGGGGGCACAATTTCACCCAATTTTAAGCTTAATAACTCCTGTGTCTTTTGTCAAAAATTTTTGAAATTTTGCATGGAATTTGTGTATTAGAGAGGAATGTTTCTAGAAATTTTCAGGAAAATTGGATCATTGCTTCGGGAGATATGGTTCACCCACTTAATATCTTCAGAACCCTATGTGAACCCTGACTTATAAATGTAATGATAGCAATTATTGGAGATGAAAACAAATAAAGAATGCTGGTAAATAGATGATAACATTAAAACATAGTCTATAGAAAAAATCATCAATCGACTACTAAAATACGAAATACAAACGCCGTAGAAGCTCATTAAATTATTAAATAAACCTTAAAATGAATAGAAAATTCCTTAGAACAATCAAAATATATGTATTTATTCAATGCAACACCTCCCTTAATTATAAGTGCAGAAGGCAGACACAAAACTCGATAAATATCAAACTCGGGAGGGTGATTAAAGATGACGTCATTTTGCTAATTACACAGAACACGTCGCGGACTTTACAAAATTTAGAGCTATGGCGTAACATCAGAAAGCAATGGCGAGTAACGGTTGAAGAGAAATCATTTAAAATTATGTGACGAAATTTGTAAAGGGTAATAACTACGCCTATTCTTCTTAATGAAGTAGCAAAACGATATTTACTCAGTCCATCAGGAAGAAGAGATAAACACGCCGCTAATCAACACGTTCCTATTATTGCTGATAAACACGTAGAGTAACGTCATACAAATCCTCTCCAATGTATAACTTAATCCCCATTTGGGTAACAATCACTAGAGAATCTAAAACAATTTGAAATGATGTCACCAGCAAAGTTTTGTTTTGACTTTTAACGTTTTAAATTCACGTATAACTTGATAAAGTGCAAAGAGTTTATTGTCTTTTGTCAGTGATTCACGACGAAAAGTGTATACGTAGCCTTTTACCTTTCTCGAGACTTTGTTTACCAATTTTGACTAAAAGAGATACAATGTGACCTCAGCTATCTTTCCCTTGCAGTAATTAGTGTATGTGTCAGTTAAAGTTGTGCTTGTTTAATTAGAGAGGATGTAATTGTTCTCGTGTTGACAGTTCGCCAATGGAGAGAACAGGTAGAGTTTAATAATACGTTTATGAACGATCTGCGATAAATGGATTTTAAGTTGTAATATGAAGTTTCGTTTATGGATAAGGGTTTGACATACACACATACTTATATATATATATATATATATATATATATATATATATGTGTGTATGTGTATGTCAAGAGTCAATATATATATATATATATATTGACTCTTGACATACACATACACACATTGGCTCTGGCTTTTATATATATTAGCTCGTCCCCCACTGAAACCTACAACAACTACACACCTATACACACACAGGCACGCACATAAATCTTGTATGTGTGTGTGTATTATATAGTATATAAATGTCAGAGCTAATTTTCACTTGTACATAAATCAATATTGACTATGAAACATAATCATCGTAAATGATTTTGATCTTTACGAAGTTATTAAAGCTATTATTGAGTTATTTACAGACGTTGTCAATCAAACTTGATATTATATAAATTTAAGAGCTATTTATAATTACTATATATAAATGCATTAGAAACTGCTCTTATATAATTATGATCCTACAGAAGTATATAACTAGGAGCCATGGAACAGCGTAACTAGGATCCAGTCGAATTTATGAAACCGAAACTCGTGGAATTTCATAAATACAGTACTATACAGCTATTCTATTAAAAATATATGGAAATACATGGGATTATGTGCAATTATATATCAAGAATTCTTTAAAATAAGGAGTCTATAGATACAACTGATTATACATTACAGCCTGGCTTATGGAAAGAATTAGATGTGGATGAAATTTTGTGTGAGTTGCATAGATAGATGTGGAGAAAATTTTAAGTCGTATATGTATAATTTCAGATAAATTTTTGTCTTTAGATATGGATCTATATTTATATTTTAGCTACTTATTTTTCTAGCCAGATTGGCTTAAGAGGTTAGTTTATTTAGAAAAATAGTCTAGGAAGAGATTCTAGGATTCAGAAATCCTAAAGTAATAATCTGAGGCTATAAAACGAAGTCTTTAATGCCCAAGAGAGCATTAAACAATCTAAAAGCGTAAAAATAGCATTTTTATTAAGTAAACGTCATTATTTATAACGCTAATTATGCTAAGATATATGATCTTTACATAACAGATATTAGTATAAATACTGACAAATATATGAAACCATTAATTCTCAAAATTTGATTAACAAATTGCATTATAAATATTTTTATAATTGCATTTTTACATTTCTAATTCTCATTTTTATTGATTTATGCTAACATAAAAGCTCTTACAATCTCGTGACAGAAGTCCAAACATTAATCCAGTGTTGATAAGTAACTTCTCGTGACTCATACCGAAAGTAAAAATCAAAGAAATCATCATTTATTTAAAAATTTAATTAAATATTCATTTAAACTTATCAAAATTGTGAATTCTAAATTTGTGGAATTGCGTGAATTCCATGGAAATGCATAATTAAGTTCCCGATTTGCGTACACCACAATGTGTATAACTAAATGTTAAGAACTTAAGAATTGTATAACTATTTCATGGGACTGTGTAAGAAGGATCTTACGGAAACGTATAAAAAGGATCCTATGGAAATGTGTAAGAAGAATTCTATGAACTGCTCAACGAAGATTCTGTGGAAGTAAATAACCAAGATTCAATTATGCGGCGAAATGAGAATTCCATGGAACTGCCTATAATTTTATGTAACTGCATTACTAGGATTCTACCTACGGAAGCACGTAATAAGGATTTCATAGAAGCCGCGTAAGTAAAATTCCAGAAACTCTAAAATTTTATAACAAATAATTAATGAAAATACATAGAAATAGAGAAATGTAATACGCAAATTTATAGAATTTCAATTAAGTTTCCTATAAAACTATATAACGAAAATACCCAAGTAAAATTATGTATAATTGCAAAACTAAAACCTATATAACTACAGAACTAAATAGTGAAATATCACTAGGTCATCTACTATGTAATTACGACTAGACAAATGTATCAAAGGCAAAGACATGGGCGGGTCTCAACAGCCATGATTTATGCTTCTGTGACTCGTTATAGATTCTATCCACAACAGCCTTACTTCTGCTTACATTGACGATTGTAGATGCTCTAGTGGGAGGAATAATTATGTAAAATGCTAACTACGATTGTTCTAGAGAAATTACAGAATTAAGAATTATAATAATGAACTGTTTTCTCACGTCACTTCCGGGTTATTAAGCTTTATCGATTGTATTGCTGGAAGCAGGGGTGGAGATAATTCGAATAGTTCTTCTCCTATATTTTCTGATTAATCCGAACGTTAAAGCCAGGTACTTTTTTCCTTTTAATAAAGAGTAGAACTGATATTTACTTACATTGAACTCGGAGATGAACGTGATTGCTTTCTCCTTGCCCTTCTGTATTGGTGCCAGTACAGCTGTAACGTCCTCTGTTATGTCTCTGTACTCTCTGTAGTACTAGAGTTTGATTGCTGACAATAATCCCAGCGGATAAATTAGTATGTAATTCTTGATTGTCGAATTTCCAACCAATATCTGTAACCCAAGGATTCGCCCGGATATTACACTCGAAGTAAACGTCATTTCTCTCTTGGATATTGGAATGTCGAAGTTTGCTTCCTAGACGAAGTGTTAATTGAGGTACAACTGTAAAGAAAAGTCATAAATATATTTTAAAAAATTGAAATATAAGTTAAAATTTTTCACATATATTCAACAAACAAGTGTAGAACTGTGTAATCGAAGCGAAGCGCATGTCTAAGAATTCGCAGTAAAACTATAGGATCATTGGAAAATTTACGAATTTTTGAGAAAATTTTTTTTTATGATTTTAGGGGTTTTTAAGTGAATTTATTATGGTTTCGGGGATTTTTAAGTGGATTTATTACGGTTTTAAAGATTTTAGGGAAATTTTCACGATCTTTGAGAATTTTTATGATTTCAAAAATTTCTTAAGGGAAACGTTTATAATTTAAGGGATTTTTTAAAAATTTTTATAATTAGTAATTTTGGAGTTTTATGATTTTATGATTATTAGTTAGGTATATTTTAAAAGGAGTCAAAATTAACAATGTTAGATTATAAAATTTTTAAAATTTTAAGAAGGAAATAGCTTTATAAAAAGACTGTAGAATATTTAACTGAGACTATATTTAAAAATCTCAGAAAAAAGTGTGATTTTTAAGAGTTAAAGATAATTTAATAGAATAGAAAATAGTAAAGAGAAAGTAAAGGCAATTTTCTAGCGTTTAGATATGATCTAGAAAGGATAAAAGGGATTCTAACAAGAAAAACATCAGAAAAACAATTAAAAACATCTTACATCATGTGTAAGCCATTTTGTCAGAGAACAAACTACAATTGTAATTGACGTAGCTGCATTTTATAAGATGCTTCACAAGAATGACAACATATTTTTTTTTATAAAATTGATATTAATAGCTGTATAATTTAATATTTAATTACGTAATATACGGGCAAATATTAAATAGGAAATTCTAGAATTTAACAAGAAATAACGAATTAAAATTAAGGGTATGAAAATATATCAGATACAATAATAAGATTTCTGATGATGTAGCCAGTGCTTAAATAATACATTTTTCTTCTGTTCTAATCTGCAGAAGAGATAAATCAATCCATAGAATCTCAATGGCAAATATTAGTTTCTTCCTTTATGAAATTAGTAAGTTGTCATTGTCAATCAAATGAAATCATTGATAACAGCTTAACAACTATGCAGAAAAGTTGAGAGCTATAATGTTTCATAATATAGTTGACTCACGTCTGGTTGCAACATCAATAAATCGATAAAAGTCTACTTCGTTCTCTCAAATCCAAAAACTATAATTTAAATTTTCTAAATGTAATTATAAAAAAAATATACACGCGTTTATCGATAAATAATGTTATATTATTTGGTAAATCGTTTGATGATACGTTTGTGGTTTTCTATTCATTGTATAACATTCATCTTTACATACTCATGCTCCGATAACTTCGACATGCACCGTAGCCTGAAGGTAAGAGATAAGAGATGATTGCACCATCGTTTCTCTCAGCACTGCTACATTAGTTGAATCGAGTTCCTCTAGCAATGTTGCCAAATATATATGGTGCGAGAATAACCCTCTATTCTACTTCTTTCTATGGAAAGAAAGTTTGAAACTGGCTAACGATCCTTTCATTTTTTTAATATAGAATACAAGCTGTAAAATATCTTAAAAATTGATGTGTTAGATGCTCATATTTTCCTTATTTCTAGTAATAAATTGGTTATTAATAACAAGAATAAAAGACATTTAAAAACAGTGTTTGACAGAGCAACAGTAATGTATCACAACATAGTTGTTACAACAGTCTTTACTGAAACATTTGATAATAAACTGCTTGAAGCAAGAAATATGCTATAACTATACTTGTTTTAACAGCAAGTATCACAACAGCATCACTTGTTACAACAATATTTAGCACAGCAGCATTTGGTGCATCAGCATTTTCAGTTTAAATGTGGAAGAATAGAGCCTACTGAACATGTGACACAGTACTACTATAATACAATAATATTTGTTACATAGTATGTGTCAACAGTATTTACTAAAAAAAGTATTCAATAAAATAATATCTAACACATGCATAAAAGTATCCTGACGTAAGTATATTTCTTTGAAAGGAGTTTTGAATCCTTTGATGTATATATAAAAGTACTTTAGATCTCTTTTAAAATAGGCATAGAGTAAGCACTATCGATTCGTATATCATAGAATAAACGTCATCTTTTCAGCAGTATACTCAACGTCAAGACTCCTTCAAACTGAAATCTTTTCAACAATTTTACTACTGAGAATCCTTCAATAATATAAGACTTATATAAAGTCAGTAGTAAGTAACTACTTTAGTAATAATTAAATGTAAATATCGTTAATCAATGTAGCTAAAGGGGTAATTTTCATGATATTTTCTATAAGGAAAGCATTTATTCAACGAATAATTCCAATATAACTCAGCAGAAACGGACATTTAGCATATTTTAACTTCACTAAACAACGCTAAAGAGCTAAAAGATGAAAGGAAATGTCGATTTAATTGTTAAGATTTATAATATTTAAAGATTTATGTCCCTGATAAATACATTTATACAAAATTATTTCCTATTTAAAGAACTAATTTCGGTTCATTAAAAGACGAAGAATCAAATGTAACCATTAATCAACGAATCATTGTTTAAATAATTACATTATTTAATAAAAACTTTTGATTAATTAATTAATTAAATATAAAATTTTCGAAAATTTTTAACTCATTCAACAAAACTTTTCCTATAATTAATCACATAAAATTTTCCGCATCATTTGTAATAATAAATAAATAGCAAACAGTGAGATATTCATTACTTTATTATGAAAAATGAATAAATAATTATTCATAACGTAGAAAAAGAAATGATAATTTATTTTGGATGCGAAATAAATAAAATTTGACACGGAACAAGGAAAGAAAAACCTATCGTTTACATATTTTTTATTAATAAAATAATAATTAAATTAAAAAAAATATACTTATNAATTTTTCATTTTTCATAATGTTTATGGTGTTTATATATTTAGGTATACACTGCATTAATATCTCAAGCTGAGTAATAATTATTATTACTATCTACAAAGCTGTATATTTTTATTATATTTATAGATATGTAGTAATTTAGATAATAAAAATATAATATTTTTTCGAGTTGAAAAGATTAAATTCCGCGTATAACGCGTAAGCAACTTTCAGATATATTTTTTTTACTTCTTGAAAAATTGATATAAGTTTTACTTTTACAACAGATGGCAGCACTGGAATAGAAGAATTTAAATCCATTCTTGATATGTTTTGATAAATAATATCTTGGATATTTCATGTTAAAATGCAAAAATATAACGAGATTTTTGATTTTTCCATTCTATCTGGACAAACAAAAAAGTGGATTAGAAACATGTATCACGGGTTTTTCTATCATTTCTCAAGTTCTACATCTCAAGAGACAAAAATATTCAACGTTTTTGTTTTATTTTTTAAACTTAAAATCCTTCAGATTTTACTTTAAAATATAGTAAGAATTCTTTTTTTTTTTAAAAAAAATCCTACAAGAAAACGAATGATATAACTATACTTCAACAAATCTCCAATTAAAAATAATTACATATTACTGATTCTTTCGTTCAAAAATATATTATTTTTAGATATAAAAAGATTAGAATTTTAAATAAATGCAGATATATATATTTAAAAACTGTTTAGAAATTCTACATATATCATTGATTCTCGCTTTCCCATATCTGATATCTTTAATAGATGCTGAATATGATATGGAGATTCATCTACAAACGATTTTAGAAAGAGCAATTGTTATACAATTTTTTTAAATATGGAATTTTAAAATTCAAACATTGAAAAAATATTTTTAGATAAGTTTTCTTTAATCTCTAGAACAATTATTAAATTATAAAAAGATGCATATATATGTATAACTTCTCCAGGATGAAGATATAGATAACAAAATCTAATTTAGACAGATGCTAGAAATTAATAAGAGAAATTATTATAAAGTAATCATTATAGAAAATCTAGCTTGTATGTAACTTAAATAATTTATTTATAAATAAACTAATTATTGTTTCAGTAGTATTTATCATTTTGGGTTTGTCTTATTGATTTTTATTCAATGTTATCCATATGAAAATTAATTAATTGAGTTGCATATAACTTAGATTTATCACTCTACAACTTAGTAAACTAAAATTTAAGCTGAATTATTAATTACGATTGAATTTAACTAAATTAAAGCTGCAGAAGATAATATGTATTTATGTATATATGTAGGTGTGTGTGTAGTATGTATTGTAAGAAAAAATTTATTTTATACATTTCACTTTTCTTAGACAAAGAATTTAATCGATTTCAGATATAAAACATATGTTAAGAAAATATATCAATTACAACAAATAAAAACAATTTAGAAATGAAACTGAGCAATAAATAACAATTAATATAAAAGTGACTAATAAACGTGTGACAGATGAAATCGAATATAATCGATTACGAACACGTGCCAAAAAAAATATGTCAGTTACAAGAAAGAGAACTTTTTATAAACTAAATAACAATTAATATAAAATCGACTATTAAACACGTGACAGATGAAACTGATTATAATCGATTACAGAACATGATAGAAATGTATATTAGTTACAATCACGTGTATTATAAAATTTAAAAATTAGTAACAATTAACATGTGATAGATAAAATCGAATATAATCGATTATTGACATGTGACAAAAAATACATCAGTTACAGTAGAATAATATGGTTTTATAAATACAATTTAAAAGTATTAACTGTTAGGATTTACGAAATCGATTAGAAAACACGTGACAGGTGAAATTAAATGTAATCTATTATAAACATATGGAAAAAATATATCAGTTACAACAAAGAAAACTCTGTTCGAAATAAAATCCATATATTATAAAATTTACAAATAAATAAAATAAAATCGATTAATTGACACGTGACAGATGAAAGCGAGTAAAATCGATTACAAACATGCAACAGAAACTATTTAAATTACAACAAAGAAAATTGTATTGTGAATAAAACTAA